CATCTTGGTTCATAAAGACTGTGATTTAGAATAAATGGATTAACAGACTGTTCTCTACTGCTTTACCCCCTCAAACTCTCTTTTTTTAATGCAAAGTAAACCAAGTTGTCTGATTAAATTGTTAATTACTCTGCTTTGCATTTTCCTATTTTTACCTAGAAGTTCCCTCTTTTCCCTCTGAGTGAATTGCTTTGATAATAAAATTAGTTCTGTATTCAATTTATTAATCATTACGATTTATTATGATCAGGCTCAGAAACTAGTTCTGCTTGCCTTTCTCCCTCTGGCCACTCTAATTGGCACAATTCCCTCTCTCTTTTCTTGAAGGAACTTAATTATAAAGTAAATAGAATCAAACATGAAAGATAAAATACTTTAATGCAATTAAAGATATTAATATATTTATTTGCCATATATTAATTTTTCTACTTTACTTTGATCAATTGAAATACTGAAAGCATAATGCTATTCTATTTTTGTTCAGATATATTTTAAAATGATTAATTATACAGAAGGAAGTCTTCTAATTTCAGTGAAATATTTTTTGTAACTAAAGATTTTGCTGTTTGACTTTGGAAATGGGGCAGAATTCGATTTTACAGGATAGAATTATGTTATTGTATTCATATTATCTTCTTCTCCACTGTTTTTCTCTATTTGTTCTCTCTGCAACTTCTAACTTGTTCTTCTTTGACAAAGGTCGATGGAGGCAAACAGCTTTCATGGACCTTTTCATTCCTTGCCCTCTATTCATGTAGGTCTCAATGCTGCTAACGCTTGTACAGATTGAATTGTGGCTCCACTGAAACAGCCTCAGAGTAGAGCTGGGACTTCCACTTAAATAAAGACAAAGAATGAATGATAGTTTTTAAAGTCCAAACTGGAGTCGTGCACCTCAGGCTCCAACCCTCCACACTGGGAGCTGGATTTTTCTTACTGAGAACAGAAGGGCTTCCTCCTCTTGGCTAAACCTTGCATCTATTTAATCTTGTGGTTTAATCTAGTAAAACTGATCGAACTCAGAGAGACAGCAACTAATTTTCATCAGGGTCTTGCAAGGATTTTGTTCTTGTTTTAATTTATTTAACAGCGAGTCATAAGGAAAAAAAATCCTATTTTTTTTGTTTGTTTGTTTTGCATTCTGTAATTACCTATAGAGTCCAATTGGGAAATCCACCTTTTTTTTTTGTTGTTGTTGTTGTTTTTCCCCCTTTGCTTGGAGAAATAGTTTGGAGAAATATTAACAAACAGACAAGAGCTTGCTGTGCCCTGAGAAGGAAAATACATTTGCCTGTTATTTCTATGTGGAAAAAAAAATACAATCAGTGTTCAAGAAAACGGAGTTATTTATTCTTCTTGAAATAAATGAGAGCTGTAGCTGATATTTAATATTCGCCTACATATAACACTATTCAAGTTGACATAAACAGCTATTGTTTCCCTCGGGGTGCATCAAATAGAAAAATGACAATGGGAGTTGTTTTGCTATCACAAAACTTTTTGCTCTCTATCGGGGCTTATCCTAAAGCAACAGGTTTATCTCATTATAAAACAATGTCTTTTCAGAGGTGTTACAAGCTAATGGATCATTTTAAAAAAATCATCAAGGACACTATATTCATGTGTACTGAGTATATTATCTATAAGCCACTCACAGAGGAGTATGTTACTTGTCATTTCTGTGCCCTAGCTAAATACGGGAAAACACAGAGATAACAAGTCTTGGGCTTGAAAGAGTAACATGCATGGGTAACATTTGCTGAAGTTAGTCTTATTGGGGAACGGGGCAGGCTCTTGGAATGAATCTTCTGGCCTACAAATTTTAAATCTAGACTGCTTTAAAAAGTAACTAAAGCACTAAAAGTAACTAAAAAAGCACTAAAGAAGTGCTTGCTTGTTTTTTTTTCATTCCGTATTTTCTTCCCACTGTTATGGATATGCAAGACCCAAGCACAATTTCCTCTTGAATTTTTAACATATTTATATAAAATAAAAGCTTTAATACAAGTGATGAAAGAGAGATCCATGCATGAATAGCCAATACGACTAAATTATAATTGCTAACTTGTTGGCTTATCTTATGGAGTCTCTTTTCTCTCGCCTTCTGCCTTTTACCTCAAAACTAGCTGCATAATTTCTATCCATTAGCACTAGAGCGTTCCCACAGAAAACCTTTCAGTTTGCACAAGCCAGACTTTCCTAAGGAAAAAAAAAATGTTTTACTGAACAATTTGGATCAGCTCACTTGTTTTGTGCGCATAACCTGGCATTCTTCAAACCACTTAGGTGCTTTGTACCATAGGAAAAAAATAGTTCAGGTTAAGAAATTTCTATGAGCTTCATCAATCACATTGAGAGGAGGCAAAATTGCTTAACATATCACCTTCGCCTATAAAGTCAGTACGAGTTTTATGAATTCTTCTCTATTAGACCACCCTGACTGATGTCCGATGACATCTAAGAAAATGTGGTACTATTCAGAATGATATTTAAAAAGTGTTTTATGGCCATAGTGTATAATTATTCTTTTTTGGGACATAAGCTATATGGCAAACTCCTTAAGCTATAAAGGTCATGGCTTTCATGCTCCACCATCTTAACATCTCCTAAATAACCTGAAAAGCTTATTTTACGTAGAAAATTTCCCATAATCTATTTTAATCATTTCTTTAACTCCCTTACTGTAGGTCACAATTCAGGACACAGTTAAAAGTTACTGAACATATAAGAAGATATGCTGCAATGATTGCAGATAAAGTCTCTTATATATACTTAAATATTTAAACTTGAAGAAAAAAGAAATGCAAGAGAATACTTAAGTCTATTTAACATGCATGTGCAACATGAACACATCTCAAGAATTGTCACTTGGTACTGTTGCCTAATTGTTGTAACATGCTTTAGGTATAACATCATTTTGAAAACTCATTTCCACAACAGTTCTATCAAAGAAACACTACTTAATTGTATTTTTAATATTTTTAATTCATGCCAAAAAGAAAAAAAGCCACCCTACCATCCTCTTGCCTTCTTAGACCTAATGGGAAAAATGAAGTAAACAATCTCTGTCTACAGAGGTTGACTAAGGCATCCTAAGGATATCCCTAATTTGTCCTTTGTGTTGAGTCTTCCAATGTGTTACCAATGTGAATTTTATTTATGATCAGAATTTATTTATCATCAGAAAGGTAGAATGCGAGGAAGCACATACCATCATCCGCATCAGTAACGCTGAAGTTGAGAATAGTAGAACCTGGAGGTAGGTTCTCCATCAGAGAGGTGCTGTACGAGCTCATGCTGAACACGGGTGCATTATCATTTATGTCTAATATATTGAAGTACACTCTGATGGTGGTGAATTGGCCTCCCCCATCTTCTGCACGGACGGTTAGTATGTAATACTGCTGCAGTTCGTAGTCCAACACGCGAGTCAGGTTGAAGACTCCGGTAACGGGATTCAGGAAGAACATGCCATCTTCGTCATCCTCGCTGACGGTGTACGTGATTTCTCCATTTATGCCGGAGTCGTCATCAGTAGCTAATATAGCTGCCACTAAAGAACCTGCATGAGAAAATAGCGAAAAAAAAAAAAAAGGGCAAAATAAGCCACTCAAAAAAGGCATAATATCGACATGGCTAGAGAGGCCTCAGAACGAAGTGTTCCTGCAGGACAACAATTCAAGCCTCAGAAATATATACTACTACATATTTTCTTCTTCCTGATCAAAGGATCCTTTTTCTCCCCAAAGACAATTTATTTAAACCTTCCATATATTCAGTCTTAAATTCATACTCAACATCATACTTAATGCAGCTGCTATACTGCAAGGGGGACGAGGAAACTCTCTCTATCTGGGATAGAAAACAGATACCCAAAGGAGAAACCTCACACTGCCTCCCCTCCAGAGGAGCTTGCCAGCTGCTCTGGGATAGCTGGAAAATGGGATGAGAAAAGCTGCCGTCCTTCAAGCACTGAATCAGCCTGTTCCTTCCCTCTGTATCCAACACGCTGAGCCAGGGACAAGGCGCAAATCCACAACCTATGTGGCCAAGGGCACACTGACCTGGATTTGAGTCTAAATCCAAGATTCTCCAGAAATCGAGTGTATCCCTTGAAAAATTAATTTGCAATCTTACATTTATCAGCAATTAAAGCGAAGAACCTCATGTCAACATGGAGGGACTGATGCTCACTAGTTGCGGAGTTATCCCTTATGGCAGCATCATGTTTTAGTGTAAAACTTCCTTATTCTTGTCTTTGCAGTGAGGATGGGACAAACGTGGGCCCCTGTGCTCAGACAATGTTCTAATAAAAGCTTGAAAGCTATTTCCATGCCATTTAGACCTCTGGGGTCTATGCATGTTTTAGTACAAGCAGTTAAGATACTTCAGCTCCTACTATCGGCAGATGCTGCTTTTTTAATATCATTCTGTATAAAATTACAGAAAAATATTGAAAAAATTACTTGGAGAAACATTCATTTCTCAGCTAGAGGCAAAAAGCAGCACAGTTTTGGGGAAAAAAAAAATCTAAGCTAAAAGCTTAGCCTAAGGGCTGAGCCTTTAAATAACAAAATACTCCTGTATATGAAATAAACTTTTAAAAAGAGTAAAAGAGAGATCTGCGATTTGGTTTGGGGAACAGAATTAATTATCTAGAAGTTAAATTTTACATAAAAACCTTGTAAAATAACAACAGAGACTGAAGTGAAAGATTAATTAAGGAAATGCAATGTTAGGGTTAGTATTTGAGTGTATGTACGAAACACTATTAAAGAATCAATGTACAAACTATTGGCTGTGCAGTTGTCACTAACTTTATGACCTTATCCACAATGGATTAAATATAATAACTCACATTCATTGAAGACTGTTCTCTAAATCAATAAAAACGTAAACTTGGCACCTTCTTCTTGATAGGGTATATTGTTTCGATTGCGCAAATGTTCCTCCTGCTATTTTCCTGCTTACTATTTTTTTAAGTGTCAATACCAAGGGGCTTCCATCAGGACACAGGCATAATCCCTGCTCCTCATCTACGAATTACGATTTTGAGTGTCAACAATTTCTCTGTTTCCAAATAGATACTCTGGTTGGTCTAACCTCTGACAGCTGCTGCCTAGTGCTCAAGACTGCTACCCCTTGACCTCCTGTTGACTGTCAAGAAGAAAACTGCAGTCAACTTTAGGAGCATCTCTTGCTTACCTGGAGTGGCATCTTCGGGAATGTCAAAGGAGTACACCGGTTTGGAGAATTTGGGTATGTGGTCATTGACATCACTAACAGTGATGTTTATTCTCATGTCGGAGGACTGCAGGCCATCGTCGGCGCGCACCAGCAAGGAGTATTTGGAGCGGCGCTCTCGGTCCAAGCGCTTGGTGGCTATCAGGTCTCCCGACTCGGGGTCAATGTGGAAGCTGTCGTCTGCACCGCTGATAATAGTGTATGTGACAAGGGCATTCGCTCCCTAAGCAAAAACAGAAGGGGTCAAGTCAAGTTATTTGCCAGATAAATCTCATCAAAATTTCCAATAAGAAAAAAATCGTTCTAGTAATGGCATTTGGTAAATAATTTTTGGAACAGTCTTCTTAATACGTAGTCTTTTTGCCTTTCAGCCTTTGCTTCTGTGCCCCATCAAAGATGTATTCACACATAGCTCTTTTAAATAAAAGACATAAAAAGATTATTTAAATATGCTTTTTGCTAGAGCATTCATAAAAAGATGAGATCCAGTCAGCAAAACAAAGCTCTGATACATGTTTTAATTTCAAGCCTGTGTTAATTAAGCAACCTACTCACTATAGTGTCTTCTCTCTTGACAGGGAATCAGTGTTTATTCTTAGTTTATATTTTAAAGTTAAATTAAACAAGCATCCTCACACCAAGCACAGCTTGGCCCTTTCTGCTCACTGCCTGTGGGAATAGGGAAGGTGGTGAAGAGTGGGGAGAAAAGGGCAGGAAGGAAAGGAGGAAGAGCTGCTGCCAGACAGCAGCACCAACAGCCATCACGGGCAGCAAGACCTTCAGGGCTCTGGGGAAACTCGCAGGGTCGCGCTTAGATGTGCACCCTGCAGCAGCCCCCAAAAGCATCATTTAGGCATAGGATGCATTTACCCGGAGTTATGAATAAACAGCTGCAAAGGGACAAATCATGTGTCACCAAAGTCACAATTCTGACCTCTCAGGCTATACCTCTGCAAGTCAAAAACACTTATTTCAGGGGTCACACAAAATACTCCATTCCATCTTGGGGGAAAAAGAAAAAAAAAAAAACAGTTTAATTTGGATTTTAAGCATTTTGGTCAAAAAAAATGAAAGAAAAGTAATTGCTCAGTCAGCACCTCTTCCCCAACTTTGAAGTTCACAATTAAAATTTAAATATTTTGGGTTCAGCTCCCTCTTTCCCTTTCTTTTGTTGAGAAACGAAAGGTTTAGCATCTTCCAACATTGGATACATGTACCTGTACTCCTATATATTATAGAGCCCAACTATATATTTTGTTGAGCAGCTAATGGCTTGCGCTTTCCCCCCACCTTCCCCACTGCTGCTGTTCCTGCACCTGGTGACAGATCAAAGCTCAGATTTCCCAGATGAATCCTACTGCTAACTGAGGTGCACTTCTGCAGAAGAAAACAGACTGAAGAAAACGGAGAAAAGTATAGCTGCTTGAAACACTCCGGGCTAAAAAAGCAAATTAACTGAGGTAAATGCCAGCACATATTGGTGAGATGACAGAAAAACATTAGTTACCTGACCTTATGATAGCGCCTCGTGCCAAACCTTTTCTCTGGGGTGTTGTTTCAAAGAGTAGGAATCAGCTAACTGATAAAATAAAATTTCAAAAGAAAACAACTTTCTACAGGTGCCCAGCCTTGATCTGCTGCCTGCGGTACTTCGGTGTACATAGGATCTGTATGTTCAGGTGTACCTGGTGTATGTAGTGCATTTTCCTGTAATTGTGTGGCTTAACAAAAACATTTGATGAGAATTTAAGATTTCACAAGCGACCACATACTTTATAGTTTGTTTGACTAGCCAGCTTTCTCATAACAGAGCACAGCTAAAACAGCAACTACGCTTGATACCACTCTAATTGAATTAGCAGCCTTACATGCATTAGCTGAGGAACAAAGACAAATATAAATATGTAAAACCTACAAAAAAAAGCTGTGCAAGAGATAGAAATTTCTCATCCACCATGGACTGAAAATAAACACGAAGTGCTAGAAGTTTTCATAATTCTTAAGTCTTCGGTACCACTTTGTACCTGTCTTTACATCTTTTCTCAGATCTCTATGAAGTCCTTATTTTAACAGCAAAGAGTCTGAAAACTAAACACTATTGTTTAATAGTATCTGGTAAGAGGGACTGTACACAGTTCAGCTGCAGCTTCTAAGGTTTCTGTCACTCACCTGTCTGGAAGCTACAAACTAGATTCTGAAAGCAAGCATGGGTGTAGAAAGGTAAGCAATGTGCTAAAAACTTTGAGGTCTACTTCAAAAGGTTTGAGTTACAAATATTCTGGGACCCAAATTGAAATGTAGAAGCTTTTACGAAAAAAGATTGACTGATTTCTGTATACTTTAACAGATTCTCACCGGAATGAGGGCTTTAGAGTAGGCAATACATTAATTGCATTTTAGGCGTAATCTAAAAGAGGCCGGAGCCTAACACATGGCTAAAATCTTAGATTTCTGATTGCTGTATCATAGCAGAGTATTACTTTAACATTTACTTCTTCCTAACTTGAAGACAAGCATTTTAAGATACAGAGCTACAATTTTTTTTAGCAATAGACACCTTTCCAAAGTCCTCCTTTTTGTCCCTATAACAGATTGCTACCAGAAAATATAGGAAAGAACAAGAACACATTCCTATCATTACTGAGGGCATTTCAACAGTTCCCTATTTAGTAGCAAAATCTATTAACAGTCACAGCAGTACTAACTGACAGACATTAAGGTAATGTGAAAAAAGCCAGAAATACAATTCTCCTAATAGGATTGAATTACCTTCTGATTTGAATGCATGATTGCTTATTGTTTTTAAGAGTAATTCTATATTTTAATGACAACGTACAATTCTTAGCATGATCATATTGACTTTTTAGGCTTTGACAGAAAAATCAGTTCAAATGAATGAAACAATGCAAGTAATATCTTAGTAACTTTTACATTCCAAAAGAAACAAAAAGATCAAATTATATTTAGATATGTTTGCTTGACACACATCCAACATGACTGCCAAGTGTTTAACATCAGTTGCTCAGAAGGCTTTTGCTATTTTCTCTACAGCTCCTTAGTAGCAAGGTCCTCACAGTACTGAACCTACACTGGCAAAAATATTCTCTGGTTGGGTTCAGGTACAAAGTAGATAATTTCACTGTCTTTTACTGAAAAAAAATCTTTCAGGAGAGGATAAGAGTGGCATTAGGTAGTTCTAGTGAACTAGCGAGCAGGCATTCTCAAAACTTTTCTTGTTCTCTAAGTCTTGTCTAATGTGAGTTTTATTGCAAACCCTGAATTGGGCTCAAATGTAACATTTTCATGTTTCAAAGCTGGTTAGATTTAAAGCTGTGGTTTTAAACAGAATGACTTAATAAATCTTAATTACAAGCTTGTCAGCCCAGGATCTTTGCCAAGTCAGTGGGTACGATGTCTGATGAGGTTGATAAAAATAGTACCATCTAGAACCAAAACATGGGGGCATTTTTGGAATTGCTCATTAAGTGATGTTATGAAAACATGAACTCGTTATATACAAGGCAGCAATCAGCCTCCAGCTGATAAGGCCTTTGTTTCACATTTGCTTGCTACTCTATGATACTTGCTAAATATAGTCTTGTGAACGGGCCAAATGAGTATAAAGAACTGGATCCTCCAAACTTGGACTTCCAAGACCAAGTTCTTACTAAAGAAATAAAATAATATGTACAAAATATATATTTCCAGATGTGCTTTTTCAGTGGTTATTCAAATATGAAGCCATTCTCCTACCTCATCAGCATCCATGGCTGTCAGCTGCATTATTTTAGATCCATCTCCTATATTCTCTTCTACAGTCAGATCAAGCATATCTGTGGGGAATACTGGTGGGTTGTCATTGATATCTTGAAGCGTTATTTCCACCTATGTAGAGCAGGAAGCAAAAAAAAGTCATGTGAGCACTCTGAGTTAGACATTGATTAAACCTGAATGTTACAAATCGCATAATTTTTAAAGAAATCGGGTAAATTATGTTTAATCATAGGAATTAGAACATTTTCAAATAACACCAACAGGAAAAGCCCCTCTGGATAATAAAATTCCACATTGTTATAAAATACTCTTAGGAAAGTCTCTAACATAAATAAAGTTAATTTGACTTGTTGATAGCAACTGATTTTAAGTGGACCTAGTCTAGTTTATATTGGAAAAGATCCACTGATCGACTGTCACTGTAATCCCCAAAGTTGGCCTCTGGAGGATAGCTGCCAAGACCCAGGGCAGGAGATTATTCAACCATTAAATGCTGCTTGACATAAAGATGAGGTGGTGTAAAATTCTCTCTGAAATGTTTATATATTGGCAACTCTCAGTTCTGAGGGAGGAAAAAACACCCCTGCACTTTATATTTAAAAACATTTTGGTTTTCCCTTGCTCAAAACTCTCTAATTGCAAACACAAATGTTGCTTTAGGTGCACCCACCAGCATCCACTCTCCTTGACAACACACATTTAAGCATTCTTTTCATATGCTATACTATGTGCTTTTTCAAGTAGCAATGACAGTGTCAGAAAGATGTATTTTTTTATTCACAGTTCTCCACAAACAGGATTGCTTGGTTCTCACAGCCTGGCTGCTGCCAATGCAAAAAGCTGTAGAGCTTGATTTTCCCTGGTTGCTGAATGTGATGCATAATACTCCAATTAAAAAAAAAAAAGAAAAGAAAAGAAAGAGAGGACACGACTGTTTTTTATCTAGCATGGGGGGGAAAAGGAAACAAATAAACAAAAACGGAGGCTTGTTTTAGGCCATCATGTCTTTTTACTAAAGAGAAAACTAAGTAACTGAAGTCTATTGTCCCTCAAGAATCAGAAGAGATGCAAAGAGATAGATGACTGAAAGTGGTTATTTTGTCAACGGACAAAATACTAATTATCCTGTAGTACCTCCAACTCCACTGGGTGCAAAGGATTTTCCCGTACTTGGCAGAAAACCTATGGGTTAGGCTGCTCTGGGTTTAATCAACGTAGACATCTCTGAGGATTTGAAGGCTACAGTTTCTATTATTTCCTCTATTTCTTCTATTTCCACATTTTTTTTTTTACATTCTGTTTTCACACAGGCCACCAATTGCCAAACCATTCACATTTGACCAGGGATCCAGAAGACAACCATTTTAGTGACAACGGCCTGACTTTCTGCAGAATAACCAAGTCACTGGGCTCGCTCAGTTTCCCCTGCCACCACCAGCACCTGGAACGGCACTGCAGGTGACCCGAACTCTGCGCTTCCTTCTTCACCCTAACCTGTGTGAATGGGGACTTGCCCCTGGCAGCCACCAATCCTCCGTGGACTTTCTGAGCAAGGGTTAACTTTAATCGCTGATGCCCTTTCTAAAGAAGATTTGAGTAGATAGGAGGGAAGTCCCACATTTCCTTCGTTCTGAAGGCAACTATTTCACAAAGTCCAACATCTCCACCAGTGATAGACTTTGCGATGGGAACAGATTTGGTGCGTGGAGTTCATTTTTTTTTTCTTCTAAGAAAATACAAATTGTTGCAGACTTGTAAATATCGTTAAGGGTATACACACCTCTCTTGGCCTTATTTGGTCCTAATTCATCCTTTTTTTCTGCCAGAGAAAACCTTGCCTGGCACTACATGTGCAGGCCAGCCCTCTTCTCTGGGCAACTAACATACCCATATAGAACCATCAGAGGATCTCAGCTACCCCCAGTCACCTCAGAGAAATGAGGTTTTGAATTCCCCAAGTCAGACAAGGAAACTGAAGCGAGGCTGTGCAGTACTCCAGCCTACGTGCTCTTGGGAGTGCCTGACCTGTGGGGTACGTTCAGCATTCACCTTCCTTAGGACGCTGGACACAGAGCTCATGGATGAAGGGCTCAGGTCGCATCTTTATTTCAACTATGTGTTCTGTATTTATGTCCATAGTAAGTTATATTATGACTGTCAATCTGCCAGAACTTTATTATTTTTTTTTCAAAATTAAAGAGAACTGAAGCATCTTTAAAAATAGAGAAAATGTTATATTAATATTATAGCAAAAACTGTTCAAGTGCAGACCAAATACTGGACATTATATGACCGTTATATGACAGACTTATACGACCATTTATAGAAGGCCATAATTAATGTGGTTTAATTCCTTTGGTCATTCATAAGTGGTACATAAAATATTCTATGGCCTGAGAGAGATTTACCCAGAAGGTTTTATGACCCAATTTATATCTCTGACGACAGCAGCACAAGACGCGTTGACTCAACACTAACTATGCCATCACAACTGTAAATCAACAACTGAATAACCAGGCATGATTTTTCCAAAGAGCCTGAAAGGTTGGTTTTCATGGTGACTACCGCAACCAGGTGACAACTAATCACAGAAACAGAAGAGATGAAATAGAAACAACAAAGGAAGGAATTCTGTTATCACTTACACTTGCCAAGCAAGCCACACACCTCGGATTGGCACAGCAAAGCATGCTGCTCTTCCACCAAATGTATTGCATTTCACCAGATACTGTTTCAAGGCACAGCATCTGTGCAGCTCTACAACTTATTTATTAACACTGTATGTGTCATTGCACAGCTAATGTTTCAGCTGCAGGTGACATTTCAGCATTAGAGTTCATTTTCATTATGAGAGATGATGCTTTGCAAAAATCCTAAGGAAAATACATGATAGCTTCTGGGTTTGGGTGCTGGGAGCTTTGCATTGCCTCCAGCTCACATAAATCCAGGAACCCAGAAATGCAGATGACAAAAGGCTGAGAGATAAATTAATTATGAAGATAGATTCCAAAGGACTGGAAAATGGAAGAGTAATAGATGATGTAATTTTATCCTCAAAAATCCACTCATTAAATAACCAAAGACACTTTTTTTTTTTTTTTTAATACAGAAGATCCACTTGAAAAGTTGGAAAAATCACAAATTAACAATCAGGGAAGATAATCTTTTAGAAAAAGACCACACTATTTTAAAAAACCATTTATAGCATAGTTTAACCACAGGCCTAAGACAATGCATATAGCTTTATAATTAAGTTCTGGCTACATCTAATTAGCAGTTCTATGTCAAACCATAGCAAAAGTAAACAGCTAGCTCATTAATTCAGCTCATGCTCTGTACTGCAGTCCTAAAGAATAAGATCCTGCAATAAGTCCATTTAAAGTAATTTTACTTCATACATTCTTCAGAAAGACTTGGAAGAAATTTTCCCCCAAAGAAGTCAGCAGCTAAATTTTATGTCAAAGATCTAGTTTAATAACACATATTTATATACAGTGAATGAGTCACGATCTGAGATTAATATGCAATTTTCTATTCAGGAGTTAAGGATTTAAGTTGGCTGTTGAAAACACTACCTAAATTCAGACCTCAGGTAGAACCTCATAGAGCAACTGTGATGACAAACAACATATCTTATGTCCGAATTGAGGAGAAAAAAAAAAAAAAAAGCTTTAACTTGATACAGAAGGCAAATCTTCCCCAAACCAAGTGCTTCTTTCTAATCCCACTTTACATTTTCATAAAGATGTCAGTGTGCATCACACCAGATTCCTGACATATCTAACTTGATGAATACCATGTGCTACCAATTAGCAGAAATGTGCACTCTGCCTCCGACGGCGCAGGCCGGGCGGCCAGGCCGCGCGGGCGCCTCGCCTCAGCGAGGCAGGCGGCCGCGAGCTCCAAAACGGCCTCCAGCAACAGCAGCAACAAGAAAGACCGAGCTCAGAAAACCAAAGGGCTCAACAACTGAAACATGCCACTGGAATGCTAATGAAATAATAAAATACAGCCGAAATAAAATTCGGGAGAACAGAGGAAGCCTGGTAGCCCATGCCTTTTTGTCGTTCACTGCCAAAGCCATTCCTCAGACATGGGGTCCCGAGCCTCCTCCAGGCCACGAAAGAGGACAGCAGTTGTACAGCAGTATATAGCAGCACTATACTTCTCTAAATATTCCAGTATAAAAATTTCCTTCACGGACATTTAATGAATCTAATTGATCTAGTAAAAAAGGAAAGAAAACAAAAAAGGAAAAATGGCTCTGAAAACTGAGGCCTTCCTTCACATTTATGTTTCAGAAGAAAAAGGGTTGCATATTTACTGTGCCTTACAAAGTAAGCAAACATTTTGCATCTCAGCTCATCCATCTTTGCAATTCTTTTCCAGTTCCGTTCAGCCCATATTACTGTAAGCTCCACAATACAAGAGCATGAGAAAAAAACTGCCAGGATTAGCAAAAATGGGGAAGTCAAAAACCCCCCACAAATTTCACCCTGTGTGTGAATGACAGATTGCTCATCCTCCAAGCTTAGTAACTTCCCTGTAATAACGCAACGCCTCACCACTACTACAGATGGTCGACCTGTCTTCTTCTCTGGCAATTTGCTCTTTACAGTCTGCTATCTAAGTCATTTGCAGAGGAGCAAAAGCATTAATTACTTGGATCCAGTTAGGATTCTTGCTGCTCAAATTAGTCCCTTGTGCTTTTCCTCCACAAACAAATTCAGAGCAAATTATGCCTCGTGGGAGTGCACAACATTAAGCTCACTAATATGAGCCAAGACATTATTCATTGCAAATAGATTTTACTTGATTTACTTCTTAAAATGTATATATAAGAATAACATGAGAGTTCTTTTATCCATTCAAACAGACCTCAAATCTTAATGGATGTAAATAATCATACTACAAGCTCACTTCACAGGGCAATCAGATGGTATTTATTTAAGTGGTCAGGGCATGAACCTGAACACAATGAAGGCAGTGAGACACTCTCGCTGAGCGCAGTGTTTCAAAATGTGGTCTTGACTTAAAACAAAGTAGAAAATACACTCTGAATTAACGGATGGCATTTGTGAAGAATATATACGAAAATGACTCCTTACAAA